AATCGTCGCGAAAGAAGATTTGCGAGTTGTAGAGAAAAGTCCCCAATTATGAAACAAGTTTCTAATATGAGATAGCAGAGTTTATATTAAATTAACAAGCATCTATTGATTCCACCGCGATTTTTTTGCTGTTGAAAGTAAAATCTGTTTGATGGAAAATTCATTGTTAGATCGTGTAGTCGTCGCGAAAGATTTGCGAGTTGTAGAGAAAAGTCCCCTATTATGAGACAAGTTTCTAATATGAGATAGCGGAGTTTCTATTAAATTAACAAGCATCATCTATTGATTCCACCGTGATTTTATTGCTGTTGAAAGTGAAATCTGTTTGGTGGAAAATTCATTGTTAGATCGTGTAATCGTCTCGAAAAAAGATTTGCAATTGAATTTCATCTCTTAATTATGACGGGCGAGAGCGAGTCTGGAAAGAGCCTTGCCAGCTTAAACAAATAGTCCATCGCGTTATCGCCACGTGTTTATTTTCGCTATGTATGTACCAGGAGAGGATGCATTAGTCTGTGTGACAACATCATTATGATATACCGCGATACAGATGTAACTGATACGTACAACATATATTACATTTATATTGTAGAATGGAAAATTATAATATTGACGTGTTATGTTACTGTTAGTTGTTTTCTGGGTAAAGTTGAGTATGTTAGTCTTATATCAATATAAGTAAATCATTCTTGTTTAATTCGAGAAAAGAGAATAGAAATTATTGATTCAATGTTACAATTAATATTGTTTGATTTTTTTACTCCATGAGATTGTGATAAATTTAAATATGTCAAGAATATTTTTTTCTCGTTATTAGAACTTCTTTCTGAGGGGATGTGATTATTTCCATAAATAAATAAAAAATAAAACATCCAAGTTAAAGGTATATAAAGATATTATATACATGAATATTTTATCCATTGCATGTGTCTGAGCTTGGAAACGTATAAATTGATAGCGAATTTGGTTGCTTGCACTAGGGCGCACTGAATGCATGCTAAGGCTTGTTTATAGTCAATTCTTATATTTACGGATCTTAAATATCTCTTGAAATATTTCTTAGCCAGTAAAATGATCTGTACACCATTCGTACGGATTATTATTTTAGGCTAAATAATTTTTGACCGTGTATTTAAGACAAAGTTAAATATAAGAATTGGGTGTAAACAAGCTTACAATTAGTGGGCATTCAGTGCGCGCTAGTGCCAGCAACCGAATTCGCTATAAGACAGATTGACGTCATTATTTAATGTGAAGATTAAGAATATTTAGAATATATATCATTTGTTGATTTATTGTGTATATAAAGCTATGTGCTCAGAAAGGTTGCAACCTTTTATCAGAGGTTTTAAAACGTGAGCCGCAATTAAAAGGAACTGTTATATCTGCAACACAAGTTAATAACTGAAAGTGATTTTATGCCGTTTTACGTTTCTAGGAGAAAAAAATCGGCTTTTTGATTATATAAATATCAAGAGACAAAAATGTCTAGTTGCTTTGATAAAACCATGGAGATTGGTTGGGGAAAGAGGGAAAATAAGATTTACAATCCGGATCGAGGCGTGCACTTTTTATTGCCATTAAATCTTTTTGTATCGTACTACTTTCCTTTGGCTTTCTTATCTTCCACGTTATGATTCCTTAAAATTACTTAATGCGTAATCGCATGCGGATACCAACGCATTAAAATAAACGCAATCCGTCGCGTGTTTGTTTTTTTTTTAAACGCTACTCGTCGCATGAGAGTCCTCAAGTGTTGCTAGGCTGCTGGCCCTCAACGACGCCAGGCTCAAGGAACTATGATTTAGAGTATTCATGCCGTGAGGATCTTCGCAATGCAGGTACAGCCGTGAACTGACAGACTTGTGGCAATCAGGGCATAGACGTTTCTTCTTCTTGTCGCGCCTCTTCAAGATGTCGTATGCGCATCTGTCAAATGCATGTTGCACGAGAAAATAAGGATAGAAGAAATATTCGTTGGCGAGAATTGACAATTAGAATTTCACTCAACATTATACTTGACTCCAAACGTTATACTTGATTCCTGCTTTAGTTCATCTGTTTCTTAACAGAAAAGTAGTCTTCAAGTTTTTCCGCGTGTCTTACCGAGCGTGTAATATGTGAGAGCAAGGTAACGCTTCCAGGGAATCGGCTTCCAGACCGAAAGGTTCGTTACAGCTTCCGCATCGTAACTCCAAATCCTCCTCCATCGCAATCGCCAATCTTTCAAAATGTCCCTTTTGCTCCTCGTCTCCCAAAGACCCGTAAATTCTCGACAATCTGGACCTGACAGTTCGCACTAGAAGCTGTAATCAACCAAATTTTCATAATCTTATTGTTAGTTTCAACCGAGAGGTAAATCGCCGAGGGCAATTGTGGTGTGCAGATTTGCGGCATTACTGCTACCCTAGTAGCACAGTGCATTGGCTAAACATTGGTCCTATTAGAAATGTTATATTAGAAGTGCATATATTGGCCGACATTGTCCAATGTAAAGCCAATATTGCCCATGGCGATAAAATAAATGTAAATATTACACGATAATAATTATATAATATTAGATATATTGAAAGTGCATTGGCCAATATTTAACGATGTAATAAGAATATTGGTCTAATATTGATACAATATTAAACCAATATTGCTAAATAAGAGAAGGCGTCCATGTTACAACATTGGACCAATATTGTGAATATTTTTTTTAGATTTACATTATTTCCCCATATTGCGTCAATGTATTGCGGTGGGCATTACTAGACATTTTTTGGGCATTAGGTCTTGCTGGGGCATTATAAGGATAAAATAAGTTGAAATGAGATAAAACAAGGTAAAATCAGATAAAACAAGATAAATAAGATGAAATAAGATAAGGCAAATTCTAATGAAAGCAATTTATTGCGATTATATTTTTCTCAATAAATTAATTTAATTTGCCAGTTGCCCGGCTATTAATTTCTTACATTGGTTAATTATTTACTGACGACAATAAGTCTTTATTCTCGTTTCGTTAATATTCCTCGGTTAACAGTCCCCCGGTTCATTGTATGCAGAAAAGACACGATACGGTAATAAACTATAAATAGCGAAATGCCTCGCCGTTTTAATTCAGGCGGACTAACAATACTCATTATTGAGCTCCGTAGGGAAGCTGCACATTTTACGTTATTGGTTGCGTGCGCGCGTATACAGGGTGAG